GGCACTAGCACAAAAAATGTTCTCAACCGAGCTGAACCCCCCAAGAAGGTAGGGAACACTGTGGGGTGGCCAAAAACATCTCTTCCTTGTACTGAAACGTACAGGCACTTGCTTACAGACTGTTAAGGCGCAGAGCAGACTAAGGAGAACAGACAGCTATACACCAGGGCTTTGGGAGCCTCCCAAGAGGCCGTGTTCAGACTGCTGGCTGCACCCCCAGAGTTCCTGATACAGTAATTCTGGACTGGGACCCCCAAAACGTGCATTTCTGATGAGTTCCCAGGTGACACTGATGCTGTTGGCTGGGAAACCATTTTTGAGAACCACAGAAGTAAGCTATGTTCATGTCTAAAAATCTGTGAAAGTAGCTTCATTTCAAAAATAAGCACAAATTACTTAATTCTTTCACAATTTACTGTGACGTGACCTTGAGCAAGTTACATAACCTCTCTTGAGTGGCTACATTTGTCATCTTCATTCCATAAAATAGGGAAATAGTATCTACCTTGAGGGGCTGCAAAGATTAGATAAAAAATGAGAAATGAAGTACGCTGGGAGGCGGCAGCAGGTGGATTGCTGGAGTTCAGGAGTTGAAGGATTGATGAGAACAACGAAATGAACACTGTTGCCAATTGTCAACAATGGTCATTCAGGCAGGAAGATGAAAAATTTCAAACAAGCAGACCTCAAGCATTTGGGGTGATCATCCAGCTCTATATTTATTTAAGCAACTAATAAGACAAATAAGCTCACTGCACAGAACCAGGCATCCCAGTCTTCCTCCAAAGAAAGCTGGAGGAAGCCTGCCTCTGAGCAGACGCCCTCGCCCAGGGCCCCTGTGCCCACCCCATCTCCTACCACCCCTGCCATCCCTAGGCCCCCAGGGCCCTGGCTGCGCCTCCTACAGTGAGGGCTGGACTGTCAGGGCAGGGACCATCAGTCTGACACACAAAGACAATCAGAACACCTTAACATCACTCCATAAGGCCTGCAGCGCCCTATAGGAAAATACAAGTTTCACTTCAAAATTGATCTTTTGGGCAACTGAAGGGAAGATGGAAGAGGCAAGCAGGAGGAAAGGAGGAGCAGTCTGAAGAAAGGATAAAAGGTTTGCACGTAAACTTCTGGAGCCACGTTGCCATGTGAACCGGATGCAAATGTGGAGTCCCTAGAGCTCACCCCCCGAGATGCCTAAGGCAGTAGCTGCAGTTTGGCTGTGATAGCTCAGGAAGATTTTTGAAAATTATCTTTCTATGAGACATAGAATCATGGGTGGGCGCAGGCACACACACATTTTTTTAGGTAACTACTGAAACAAGGGGTCACGCCGTAAGCTAATAATTTAGAGGAAAAGATTCTTACCTGGAATGAACCACTGCTCAGTCCTTGTGAAATGACTTGTTCTCCCTCTTTCCCTCTTCTTTTCCAGTACCTAGCCTCCCTCCTTCTGGAAGATGGTGGGGTTTTCTCAACAAAATTACAGAGCAAGCCAGAAATAGAGATAAAAACTGAGAATGGGCCAGCCAAGCACTCTGCAGAGCCTCACACAGTCAGTGCCCCTAATTGGATGCTGGGGGCATGTGGCACAGTGGACCTCCCTGCAAGCCTCCTGCCAGGCCACTGAGCTGTCTAATCACAGGAGCAGAGGGAGGGGAGCTAGGGGAGCTGGCGGAGCCCGGAGAAGGGAGAAATACTCACACTGCCTTTCCTTCCATCTTCCTCCTAAGGCTAAAGGGGCTGGACTGGTGGCGCCTGGAATGGGGCAGCTGGTCATAATGACACAATACAGAGCTCAGCCGCCAGTACACAGGACATGGAAACGAGGAATCCATTTCATGTGTCCCTGAGTCTGTTCCTGTCTCCAGTGGTAGATTCCTGTTTAGCTCTTCACATTCACTTCAATTTAAATCTTCTTGTGATCAAAAGACACAGCTAGTTATCTTCTGGGTTACTCTGAGCACTGCAGCCTTCATGTTATAAAGGCCGCCCTCTGCTGAACTGACTTGATTTGAGGACAGTCATTCCAAAAACAGAGTGAGCAGTGTGGACAAGATAAGTGCTCCGGGATCCGGTCACTATTGCTATCTCATCGTTTCATCCTGAATCTTGGGAGAATGTGGGAATTTACTCAGAATTATTAAGATTCCTCGAAGAAAACACCTTATGTGCTTAGATTTCAAAAAGTTGAAACAAGAATAAATTACAAAGTTGTTAAAATCACTTTGTGACCCCCTCAAGGACAAAGGGTCTAGGAATGACACAAAGCATCTGGCAGCGAAAGTTGGATTTAATTTTATTTTGTTTATTTAGTAAATCTGTTTAATGGAAGCGGAGATAAGGGCAGGTAAATACACAAGAGTGGCCCACACTTACACAGCTGGGGAAAATGCCAGAGAAAATAAAATAGGCCTTTGTTCTCTCTTTTTTCTTTCCTTAGTTTTTTATTTGTTTTAGGAAATTTTCGGTTTTCAGACCAGGGAAGAAAATAAAAGATATGCCCATTGCTTGAAGAAATGACAGAAGGGGAGCAATTATGCCCAACTCTTACTTTTGTTTTGACCTTTTATATCAAAAAGAAAGATCTTAAACTTGAAAAATAATAAACAAAACAAAACAAACAAACAAAAACTAACAGAAAAATAAGATTGAGACAGGTAAGGAGACACCTAAATGGTTTCTTTTATATGAGATCCAGTATTCTGGCCCAAACAAATTCTATCTCAGGACACTGATACAATTTACAGACATGACTATAAACCAGGTGGAAATCTTTGGGAAACCAGGGAGAACAGTAGAGGATGGGAACAGGTAAAATCATGCAGAATTTTTTAAATAAAAAACAAGTTAGGTTCTGAAAACAACAGAGTTGCAAATTTGACATTAGCCCACAGCAGAATTCTAAAATGGCTTCTTGAATATTTTGTGAGCACTTAAAAAAGAAGCCACACGCACAAACAACCCACAGGAGTTTTACAAAAACAAGGGTGGCCTGCCAGGCATAGTGGCTCATACCTGAAATCCCAGAACTCTGGGAGACTGAGTTGGGAGGATCACTTGAGGCCAGGAGTTCAAGATCAGCCTGGGCAGCATAGCAAGACCCCATTGAGCATGGGGGCACTTGCCCATAGTCCTAGCTATTCAGTAGGATTACTTGAGGACATAAGTGCAAGGCTGCAGTGAGCTGTGATCAGGCCACTACACTCTAGCCTCGGTGACAAAGTCAGACTCTGTCTCTAAAAAATTAAAAATTGGGGAAAAAAGGGGGGGAGGGAGGCCAAGCTGATGTGATTTTTTTCTTTTGAGAGCATTATTAGACAGGTAAGATCATGGAAACTCAGATATAGTGTATCTTGATTTCTGCCATTGAAAAGTCTTCCATCATAGCTTGGTGCCCTGTAGTGGTTATGGCACCAGCCACATACACCAAGGGTTGGTGGGTTAGAACCTGGCCTGGGCCAGCTAAACAATGACATGCAACAAAAATAGCCAGGTGTTGTGGCAGGTCCCAGCTACTTGGGAGCTAAGAGAGAGCGAATCGCTTAAGCCCAAGACTTTGAGGTTGCTGTGAGCTGTGACACCACGGCACTCTACCAAGGGCAATTAAGGGAGGGAGGGAGGGAGAGAAGGAAGGAAGGCAGGCAGGCAGGCAGGAAGGAAAGAAAAGTCTTTCATCACATCCAGCAGATAAAGGTGCAAAAAGTGAGGCTACATTATGACACAGTTCTGCCCATGAATAGTGTGTGTACAGCTAAACCCAGAAGCTGTGGACTGAGTGCGGCAAAGTCCTGGATCTGTCTGGCCCGACCTTCTTTAATAACATTAAAACTTAGAAAAAAGAGTCACTGAATCTGCAGGTGGCAGTAAGATTGGAAAGAATCCTAACCACTGGATACAGCATCATGAACTATCTTAGCACGCAGCCATGATATGATGAAATTAAAATAAAAAACCTTTTAAATCGCACACTGTCCACATCTCTAGATACGAACATTGGACAGAGTTTCCGGGAACAAGTCAAACAATCCTAAAGTCACGGACTCTTGAGATGAGCCCAGCAGGCTACTCAAAAAGGAAGAGATTTGCCTTGACACAGGTCATAGGAGACCCAGAAGTCCTATTCCTGGTGAATTCCCCCAGGCCTTGAGTTTATGTCCTCAGGGCCCATTTAAAGACAGTTTGCCTTTTGCCTAAAGGCTTGATGAATGTTCACCATAATCTTAGTTTATTTGTGGAAAGGAGAATGAAGTAACCAGTGGAGGAAAAGACTGGGAACCAGGAAGTAGGAAATTGAGTGTGAAGATAGGAATAGCTCCCTGAGGCCCTGTGCTGGGAGCTATCCTCAGACACTTGAAGAACTGTCCTTTGAATGAGAAATCTGAAGTCCACAAAGTCCAGGTGACTTCAGAGGAGAGAGACCCCTTTCCAGAGGTCATGGGGACTAAGTTCAAATTGTGTTGACATTTCTAATCCTTGCTGTCCCCAAACAGAATGAACAGCCACAGGAGGCCGCCGGCCCTCAGCCAGCACTGAGCCAGACACAGTGCGGGCAAAGGGATCTGCCAACTCCAAGTTGGTTTCAGACGCTCTGTTTCTCCACTGCATAGATCATCTTGTAGTTTATTCCCTAACGCAAAAAGCCCATCACCTCCTGAGGAACGCCAGATGGTACTATAGGTAAAAGTTTAGTGTACCAGTTTAAAAGTTTACTAGTCTGTCCTAGTTTGAATCCTAGTTGTCACTCCCTCGCTTTGTGACGGAAGTGACCTTGAGCAAGTTAGCTAACAACGCTTGGATCGCCCTAGACCGCCCTGAACCACCCTGCACCATGGTTTCTCCATCCGCAAAGGGGGGACGACGGAAGCGTCTATTCCGGGGGTCTGTTGTGTGGACTGAGTGAGTGAGAGCAGGGGAAGCTCTCAGCACAGCCTCTGGCACACGGGTGACACACAAATTAGCGATTTGTTGTGATGACTCTGTAATCTTTTTATTATTTCTGGGCACAGTGTGATGATCACCTGAGCAGACAGAAAAACGTCACCAAGATTTAATACAAACATGTAGAGAACAGCGCTGCATGAAGCAAAAAAAAAAAAAAAGAGCAGCCAGAGAACCCTCTCTTCACAGACACACGTGATTTCTAAAGCCAGTTACCGCTGGCAGATGCTTCTGCCCCCAAGTCACCTTTAAAATGCAAGCTTTTCCCCATCCTTGTGGCCAGCAAGGGTCTGGGACGCGGACCCTGGAGTCTAGGCGGCTGCCTCTACTGAGGACGGTGCTGGCTGCTCCGGCTCCTCTCCCAGATCCACAACCCGGATGGTGTTTTCCTTCTTGGAAAGCCAGAAAGCCGCATAGACTGGCTCTGAAAACTTGCAGTCGAACCTGTGAACCAGAGTCATGGCATCGTACTCCACACCGTAGAAGGAGAGGGTCCCTTCAGGGAAGTCCACGTAGATGCCTAGCCTGCGGAAGGGGCTGGCTTTAAGCGGGGTCTCGGTGTCGCTGTGCCAGGCCGTGAACTCCTTCCCATTCCACTGGAGGCTCCAGGAGAAGTTGTTTCCAGAAATGCAGCTGTTACGCTCCTCCCCCTTCCGGTCAATGCCTTTGCAGGTCACGCCCACGTAGGTGCCAGCCCCCGAGATCTCCACCTCGAAATAGTACCTGTGCAGGAACAGACTCTGCTGGGACAGCACCTGCCTCCAGTGCATGAACCTGCTGGGGAGGTCGGGGTAGGGATGCTCCCAGGGCGTGGTGTTGGTGACCTTGCGGTTGTCCTCCTGCAGCCTGAGATACCTGTGTGCCGTGTCGGGGTCAAACGTGATGTCGTGCGCATCTAAGGAGACACAGAAGGCAGGTGGGCATTTCAAAGGCTGACAGCTGACTCGGACAGACGCTTTTAAACCCAGCTGCCCTCCAAGGCAGGGACAGACGCTTTTAAACCCAGCTGCCCTCCAAGGCAGGTATGAAGAAGCCTCCATCTATCTACTGGCCCCCCTCCCGCCCCGGTAAGGAGGTGAGTGAAGCCAGGAAAGATAAAGCACAAGTCACTCTACTGCCTTCCTGTCTGAAGCCCTAATTGCCTGGTGTTTGCTGTATTACCAGGTGCACTGAAGCAAGAAATAAGCTGATTTCCTCAGTCATTCAACAGACGGTGTTGGCAAGCGTCTGGGAAGTAGGTTACTCAAACACCCACGTTTGATCCATTCACCCAGTTTTTGAAATATTTGACTGATACAGAGCATGGTAAGCTCTCAAACATGCCCTCATATCCTGACCCCAGAGAATAACAGCTCCATGCTCCCAGTTGCTCAGGTCACACTCAAGGTTGCTTTGGAGATTTCTTCTGCCTCCTCCACAGCCCTCCCCCTCCCCACACGGCAGCAGCGAGTCCTGCAGAGCAGTGATTTTCTACTGGTGTGCTGTGAGAGGATCTTAGGTGTGCCCTGAAAATTGATAAGATCATTAACCAAATTATTTTTGAAAGACATTCAAAGCACAGTAAGTATGCTCTTTTCCTTACTCTTTTCTTTTGATCAACATAATTTAAGTGTGCTGTGGAAGTTTAGCTATAGGTTCAAGTGTGCCATGCCATAAAAAAGGCTGAAAAACGCTGGTGTAAATAAATGCCACCATTCCTCTCCAGGCTCTGGCTTCAAACTCTCCGATAAGGCACCATCAGTCTTGCCTGAACTAGTAGAACAGACTTCTCTCTCCATGACAGAGACTTGGTGCTTGTTTCAAGGAATAGGGGAAGGTGAGTCATACTGCCTCTTGCTCTTAGAGTAAGGCACTGACCCTTTGCCCTGGCCTGCCAGGCCCTGCATGTCTGCCTGGCCTGTCTCCCACTCTCTCCCCCCAGATCACCATGTCTCAGCTTCCCAGACCTCAGACCTACTCAGCATTCAACCCCCTTCAGCACAGCCTGTTCCCTCTGCAGCACAGCCTGGCCTCCTCTGGGTCTGGGTGATTCCTACTGATCCTTTCAACTTGCAGCTGAGCATTCATCCATGTCCTCCAAGAGCCCCTCTGTGACTTGTAGCTCGCTTTCTCTCAGAGCACTCTGGCTTTTTAAACTTCATGGGACTCGTGACCATTTGGAATAACACGTGTGTATATTCACGAGTGTGTTGGCTCCGTGCTCATCCTCTTTCTAACCTGGAAGCTCCACACTTTGCATGGGATCCTCTGGGCTCCAGCTCAGAGAGACCTCCATGTACACTTGCTAAGTGAATTAGCATGTCAAAGGTTATTTTAAAACTCTTATAACTTAAAAAGCTCTCTTAGTTTAAGCCAGAGTTTTCCAAAGTACTTAATGTCCTGAGAAGAGAAAGTCTTAGAGGCCAATAATGACACATCCTGGAAGAAAAGAAGAAGAAACACAACCTAATGAGTTCAAAGGAAAAGTAATGCAGGTAGTTGGCTGTGGGAGGCAGACAGGTTGACTTCCCGGTGGGAGCCCCGCCTCCGTCCTTGGGCGTCCAGGGGAAAGCACAAGCAGACACGTGACCCCTGAGGGCTCAATGAGACTACAAAGATGGAAAGAGCCCTGCACCCCGACAGGCCGGGCTAGACCTGTGGGGAGACTCAACAGATAGGAAGGGTTAAGCTCTTTGAACTTCTGATATGGCTTACTTCCCCTGTGGGGCAGAACTAGTTTCTCCCTCCCTTTCTAAATACTCCTGGGCAGGCTGTGAGCAACCCCCTGCAGTTACCAGCCTCTCTATCCAGTCTTTCTGGGGACTTGGGATTCTTTCAACCCTATCTTTTGGCATTTTTACATTTTGCTTATGCACCTATGTTAGAAATCAATAAAAGCCTCTGAAAAGGCCAGAGAGACTGGACCTCCCCAGCAGCTCCGTGCACTGGCGGCAGGTGCTGTCCCAGCAGAGTCTGCATTATTTTCTCAGATTACTCAGCCTGAGATAATGTAAGCCTTCTCCACACATTTTCGGACTTTATGTTTTAAACTGACATAAGTTCTTTTTCTTTAGTTGTTTTCCCAGTCGGCTTTCAAACCAGGTCGGGGCTCACATGCCACAACCCCCAACAGTCTATCTCTTCGTTTTACTAAAAATAGCCCAACAGCAGAGTGGTGGCACTTTTGCTCACAACCAACTCTTGCAATTCTTAGCACCCAGCTTTGGATCAACAATACAATACTCTTCTCGTGTAAGAGGATCCAGTACTCCTGGGAGAGTAGGTGACTCTGTGTCTTGGGACAAGGAAATGAGCATGGGCCTTGGAACATTATATTAGTGACAGAAAGCAATGATACTTTTAAGAATGTCAACATTTCTAGGAAAAAGAGGCCAGCTTGAAAGCGGCTCCCACTGGTCAAGTTGGCAGTTTGAGCCACAGAACTTTGACAGTTGAAACCATCGGAGGCAATAAAAGCTTAAGAGTTCATAACAGTATTAACAAGAGAAAAGTTAATATCATGTGGGGAAAAAGATGCTTGTAATGCAAAAGAAAATGAAATGTGTTTCTGTCAGGAAAGAGGAAGGAGTGTAGGAACTGGAAGCCGGGCAGCCTGGGGAAAAGTAGGAGCTGTGGCAAGAACAGCAGGAAATAATCATCAGAACCTGAAGCCCGATGTATAAGCAGAGAAAAAGGCAGTCTCAGAGTCAGTTAGCTGGTGGTCATCCCCAGAAAACAAGCAGAAGTGAAGTTCAATGGCACATTCCAAACAGATGTTATAAAAACGAGCATGAACTACACAGACGCCTCTCTACTGAGAGAGGCAGCCGCATGGGCATGTTGGCTGTAATGAAGTATGTCTTCAGTGTTTTTATTTGACACATAAAAACTGTGGATATTTATAGCATACAACATGATGTTTTGAAATATGGATGCATTGCAAAATGGCTAAATAAGTCTCATTAACACATGCATTAACTCACATACTTATTTTGTGTGTGTGGTAAGAATGCTTAATATCAACTGTAAGCAGTTTCCAAGTACACAACATGTTGGTATTAACTATAGTTATACAATAGATCTCTTGCACTTATTCTATAATGATGCATTGATTAGAATTACAGTTGGCCTTGAACAACATGAGTTTAAATTGTGCAAGTCCACTTACATAAGAAATATTTTCTACCTCTTCTGCCCCTGACCCAGCAAGACCAGCCCCTTCCTCAGCCTTTCAACATGAAGACAATGAGGATGGAGACCTCTGTGATGATCCATTTCCACTTAATGAATAGTAAATATGCTTTCTCTTAGTATTTTCCTAACACTTTCTTTTCTTTAGTTTACTTTATTGTAAGAATAAAGTCTATAATACACATGACATAGAAAATATATGTCGACTATTTCTGTTATTGGTAAGGCTTCCAGTCAGCAGTAGGCTGTGAGTATCAAGTTTGGGGGGAGTCAGAAGCTGTCTGTGGATTCTGGACTCCACGGGGAATGGGCACCTCAACTCGCGCACTGTTCAAGGGTCAACTGTACAGTGTTTTTTAAAAAATGCAAATAGATCAGGTCAATACCACATAATGACAGAACAATGGGTGATGAAATCCTGGCCAGGCCAGATTTAACAATGAACCATCTGGTAACCGGCCAGGACTCTTCAAAGAACCAAGGTCATAACAGACAAAGACCAAGGGACTGACCTGAGAATGGAGAGGCCAAAGGACACATGGAAACACTTGTGATCCTGAAACTATATTATATTAAAATATAGAGCTATAAGGTATAAATAGTAATCAAAGTCTGATTTTTATAAAAATATAGATAAAGCCAGAAGTTTAACAAACTAACTTCCTTATTACTGTAAATGGTTACTGTTTAATGACATTATCCTCCTTGAAAGGTGCGAGATTTGTGACTTCCCACTACCTCTATAGATAACACTGCCATTGTAAAGCGTACACTAGCTTCTCTGGATTACATGGTTATTACAAAGCCTAAGACTGGCCTTTCAAGTATTTTTCAGACTTTGCACTGGGGGGAACCCACTGATGCCAGACCTGAGGATAAGCCTGAAAATGGACCCAATAGCCTTGAGGCCCCCCACCCAGGAAATCTTCCCACCGAGAAAATAATCTCTGCTTCCAAACCCTATGCGTTCATTCCCCACCAATCAGCACTCAATTCCCTAGGCCTTTGCCTGCCAAACTATCTTTAAAAACCCCTTCTCCCAAATTCTCAAGGAAATGGAATTAAGAAATTCCTCCTGGCTTGGCGCCTATAGCTCAACCGGCTAAGGCGCCAGCCACGTACACCTAAGGTGGCGGGTTCGAATCCCCAG